CAGCATGGTAGATGACAGTCCACAATCTTCAAGGAAGAGGCGTTCTTCCTGCAGTAAATTGATTTCTATAGGAAGCCACACTCACTATTTAGAATATGGCTCCCACTCAAATCCAAGTTCGATCAGCAATTTCCTTGACAGTTAGAGGCAAGGAAAATGTTTTGGATCCAGGATGCTTGTTTAAAGAAACAAATGGAAATCACAGTAAAAAAAGAATACTTCTTTCTGTGGATTACTAACTTTTGTCCTAAGAACGTGAAAACCACAACAATAGCTACAACTGGATATGCTTGCATCGTCAAGCCTTCCAGATGTGTTGGGCTTCAAGTCCCATAGATTTAAATTTAGGATGGCTGAGAGAGAAGATGAAACCCTGGAAGTACGTTTGGGCATTCTTGATTAAATCTTGCATTTAAGTGATGGCTAGGCCTGGTGTTTTAGAAACTGACTCAACTGGAACATAGTTTTCCTTTTCGTTCTTTGCTTACTTTTCTTTATTGATTTCCTTTTATCCAGGATCAGCTTTACCCTTGGATTTGGGTAACGGTGTTTGCCGGCATCCCTAGGTGTAAAATAAATTTTAAATGAGACATAAATGGTGTTTTGAAATGATGGCAGGCCATTTTTGAGCCAGATTAAATGAATCACCCAGCTTAAGAAGCTCCTTTTGGGTACAGGCTGAGTGTTCTTCTAGAAAAGTGCTAAATGGGTATCTGAGCCCTCTGAGATTTGACAAGAACCTGAGACACAAAGGCAATTTGCTTTGTATTTCTTCCCTGCCCCCTTGCCTTGCAAAACATGGTCACTAGCTTCTCCATTTTTTTCTACACTGTCAAATGCCAATACAGCAACTCTTCCAAGGTCAGATTCTTGGTCTGGTATTTGATATCCAGCATCTCTGCTGCCCTTCTATGTTGAAATTAAGTACCAGCCATTGATTTTGCATAGGAGGGTTATTTTTAGCTATTTTAACAAATGCTGTGAAGAGCAGAAGAGACTTCAGGTCTCCCCCACCCAGCCCTCTCATTGCCAGGTTCCTCCATGCATTTGAAGGTGTGGGAGCAGGGTCTGCCCTGTCCAGAATGCGATTTCCTGCAGAGTTTTGCAGAAAAAGCCCCAATCTATACTTAAGGCAGTCTAAAGCCATCCTTACCTATTTTTGCTCATATTTAGAGCCAAGCTCCAAACAGAACACAACAAGAAACTGAATCAATTGCTTAATTTGTACATGTGCCCCTGAGTCTCCAACCTTATGATTCTGGAGGAAAGAAAGTGCCTTTTGATTTTTTGAATAAATGGTGCGTCTGCAAGTGGAGAAATACCAGAATATAAGAGTGTTCCAGAGGAGGCCACTGGTTAAGCTACTGCACTAGGATCAAGTCTAGAGGCCTTTTTCCACCTGCATCTAACCATGGTGCGTGCCCAGGTCACCCCTTCTTCATGCTTTCTCCCAAAACATTCCTTCATCTTGTCCCCAACCTATACGTAAAGCAGTCTAAAGCCATCCTTAGCTACTCCAGTGTTAAAATAGGATATTTTCCTTTAGGAGCCGATATGTCATGGCAATTTTACCATGTTAGAGTCTGACAAAATTCACCAATCATTTTGTTTATGGCACTGTCAGGCGACCCTTGAGGGGGAGGCATCTGCACAGAGTCTCTTGGCTCCTTTTGGGTGGTATTGGCACGCTCCTTACTCTTTGGTACCTGGGCACTTTCCTCCATTGTTTCAAAGTGGGCTCTCTCTCTTTACACGTGGGTCTACAAAGCAATCCCTAGATCAACCTGAACAGAAGCCAGTGGGTGGTAGTGATGGTGGTGATGGAGAGGATGAGGCGTGGTGGAGCAGGACAGAGTGAGATGGATATCTCTCTGCTGCTTCATGGTGCAACCATGACCCTTCTCAAAGTGCCTGTTAGCTGCTATTTGGGTTGCCGCACTAAACCTGTGTTCAAAAAGCAGCCTGAACAATAGCTGGTAAGTGGAGGGTAGAGATGGGATTGCACAACGAAGCACCAGAGAGAAAGGGGTCTCATGCACCTTTCCCTTGCCTGTCAGTTGCGGTTTGGGCTGCTCTTAACACAGGTTTAGCATTCTTCCAGAAAAGTGTTCAATGGATTTCTGACTCCAAGCTACCCAATGGGTTGCCGTTTGGGGGATCAAATGGAAGGAGGGAGTATTACATACCCTATTTTTCCATCAGCCTCTGAAGCAAAGGTAAAGATAATTCTAAGACACAAACAAGAAATGCATAACTGTTTTGGAGAGGCGTGTACTTTAATCAGTTTCACAGTACCCCACCCAGAAAGTGAAAGACAACATAAAGCAATAACCACAGTAACACTGTAATTATTCCTGCTGCTCCTGGAGAACCTCCAAAGCCTAAAACTAAGCATCTTCCAGAAGCATTAAAATACAATTTCCTGAATGGATTACTATTCTGGGCCCAACTGAGGGTTTCAAATGTGTTTTTACTGACTTATTTGTATCCTATCCTACAGTCCATAGAAGGAGTTTGGGATGGTATTTTAGCCTTGCAGAAACTCAACAAGAATGCTTAAGCGAATGAAAGCATGACATACAATCCTAGTCAGGATTTGAATCTAGGTCTCTTTGGTTCAAGACACTGAGCATTTGATATTGTAGAGCAGTGTTTCTCGACCTTGGCAACTCTAAGACGTGTGGACTTCAACTCCAAGAATCCCCCAGCCAGCGAGCTGGCTGGGGAATTCTGGGAGTTGAAGTCCATACATCTCAAAGTTCCTAAGGCTGAGAACACTGTTGTAGAGGAACACAGAAAGGACCTTGGAAACTTTTTGCAGCAACCACTAGTAAAACATGAGCTTAGCCCAGGAAAACAAGAATATGTGAGAAAGAAATGTAAGATTGCCCCACCTTGATACTCTTTGATATAAGAGGGAGTGAAAGGGAAATGCTGTCATCCTTTCAAGAATCTGCTATTATAGCCTGTATCAATAAAGGAGAGTCCCAGTATTTCTTGTGGTGTTTGTTTCCTGACCTGGCCTATCTCGAAGGGCTAACAGATATATTATGTACTACAATATAGTACACAGTATGTAACAGAATACTGGACAGATTATCATTTTTTTAGAAACTGAAGCAGAAAGGATTTAAAAAGGGTATATCCAGGGAAACATTGTTAGATGGTAATTCTAGAACAATAGCACAAAAAGGTGCAACATGGTTTTCATTTAAGGAATTTAGATGAAAACCACAGAGCTTCCAGACTAAATGGGGCTGAAATATTTGGACTTTGTTTTTTGAAACAAAAAATGGACCAACTTTTCAATATTTAATGGAGGAAAATGGTTTTCTACCAGAATGACTCAGAAGATCTTCCTTGAATGTGATTGGAATCATAAACATACATATTCAAAGAATTTCCATAGCAGTTATAAAACAGCTCAGTTACCAAGAAAATTGAAGACATCAGAGGTATCTGCGGGTAATCAACCACAGATTTAGCTTTGTGCAAAGAAAATCTTGAAGGATGAAAATGCATGACTGCTAACCTGGATAAATGCAGATTTACAGTCTAAAAAGAACACAGCTTAAACATACCCAACTATGCTACTATATCAGTTTGGCTCCTCAAATGTGCCTAATCCTGGCCAGCAGGAAGCCTGGTTCTACCATTAGGCACAGTTAGGCAATCATCTCAGCAGATCAGTGGAGATGAAAGAGCAGCAGCAGCAGCAGCCTTTAAGACATGTGTGTTCCAGGCAGCTGGATAGTGGGTGGGGCAAGAGGCTCAGAAGAGACCCTTCCTAGTTTCTCAGGCTGTAAAGGAGATGGGGGGAGAACTGTAATTTCAGACTTGCAAGATTCTGTCAATGTAGCTTTGCAATAAGTAGCTCATCTGGTTGTGATTCCTATCTGGTTTACACTACAAGGCTGACATCAATCTTGCAATTCCCCCCTCCCTGTCTCCTTTACAGCCCAAGAAACTAGGGAGGGTCCCTTCTGAGCCTCTTGCCCCATCCACTATCCAGCTGCAGGCTATGCTGTCTCTTATCTGACCGTTACCTTGGCAGCATCTCCTTGCCCAGTCTCCCAAGGTCTTTCCTACATACCATTACATATGTCCAGCCAAAGCGCCCAATAATCATGAAACCTGGGAATGATGAGGACTGTAGCCCCACACAACTAGTGTTTGACTCCTAATTTACAATTAGCTTTAAGTTATGTTTTTCGACATTTCATTCTGTATTTTCTATTATAATTAGTTAACTGAGTATATAGCCTACTTTTCTACCTGATTAAGTAAAAAGACAGAATGTAAATCAGATAAATAGATAAATAAGATAGAAAGTACTAGGTTTGAAAAACAACAACTATGTTAAGGTTTTTAAAAATGCTATTACTTGTTGGGCTTCCCCTTTGCCTCCACAAAGCATGTTTCAAAATGTGAGTTCATATCAGAATGTACATTCAACTTTGGTTCCCTCCTCAATACAAAGGAGTAATATTATCTGAAGGGCTGTTCAGGACAATGCTCATATGTTTCCAAGATAGTAAAGTCATTAAAGTCTCTCAGTGGTCTTTGATACCATTGACTATGGTATCCTGCTGGATGATCTTTTGGATGCTGACTGGAGACCTCTCCTTCCCCACAACTACCAACTGGAACTACCCACTTGAAGGAGTACCCCCAATCCCTAGCCTCCACAGGTGGTCCAGTAGGATATCAAGGTCACTGGTCATACATGAGCATCCTCTCCACCTTTAAAAGGATGCAGACAGGTTTCTCCTTTGACCTGAGTGGTCCTTCAGATACTGGGTTAGACATCTGATCCAAAAGGTTGTGTACATCTCCACTCAAGCATGGGTACCTTCAGGCCAGTCAGTTTCTCTCAGTTCAGCCTATGCAAGAGGACTGTTTTTGTGGAGTAAAATGAAGAGAAGCCCTTGTGAATGCTGCTTGAGTTCTCAGAGCAAAAGTGGGATATAAGTGCAGTGAATCAATAATATATTACTTACTGTCCAGGCACGGTTCGCAGATGGTTTGGTTTACTCCACAAGGTTGGGCAACTCCTTCCCCAAGATTACAGGGTCGGCAGCATTCCCCACTGGTAGTGTATTTCCCCGTGGAGCACTGTTCCTTGGTCCCTGCTGAGCCCTGTGGCAAGAGGAAAAGTAGAAGACAGTGGTCAGACCTCTTCTAACCCTGGATGCAAAGATATACCCAAAGACACGACTTTTTGCTACAGGCAAACAAGCAGAAAACATAACTGAAAGTCTGCATTCCTCACCATGGTGCCATATGGATGTGCTACACTACAATTTCCACACTTCCCAGTCCAGCCCGAGCAAAGTCTACTGTGGGCTGGGACCTATGGGAATTCTACTATAACATATCTGGAGAGCATCTACCTGGGGAAAGCTGCTTTAGTCCCTTTGATGAACCAGGCAATTTCAAAGTGTGACCGATCATGGCCATTGGTCAGATGGTGATCTGGAAAGGTGCGTGGTTGTAGATAGCCTTGAATATTTTGAAGAGGAAGATTTCAAACAGTTCTGTAAAATCCTGTGCAGCATCTATGTCATTCCAGTTTACAATTCCCCATTTTACACAGGAAGATTTGAGTCCAGGAGAGAATCACCATCTTCAGAGTAACAATGTGAACGTGTTTGTATTCAATATCTTTTTTATCTGAACAACAGGAGATCATAACCTTGAGGCTTCAGGTCCACATTCAGTGCCCCGAAGCCCATCCACAAGTTGCCATTAAATTGTAAATTTTGACATGATAGAAGATGCAAAATACATGTGGAATAATCTATTTCTTTATTTGTTAAATTTCTGTATCATCACAATCTAAATCTTGGCAGTACCCAACATAGTCCAAGGTCATAAAATGTCCACAGTATACAATGAATGAAATATCCACAGTAAACAATAATAAGCAATTAATAAAAATAAAATCAACATCCATTCTTAACAACTATCAGAGCAGATTACAACAAATAAATAAACTATCTTTATTCACAAGATAGCATCATTCCAATTAAACTAAAAAAGCCCTCCGGAACAGCTTTGTCTTAACCAATCTCCAGAAAACAATCAACGGAACAAATACAGTCCATGGAACAGGAGCCATGATGGAAAAACCCTGCCTCCTGATTTCATCCCTTCTGGGCTTTATGGAAGTGAGAAATCACCAGCAGATTTTCCCGGGATGCATATTTCAGAAGGGTTGATTCTGGCTAAAGAAGTTAGTCTCACAGATACCTTGGTGCCAAGCCATATAAAGCTTTATAAATTCAAACCAGCATTTTAAATCACACCTCAAAGTGTACTGGCAGCTAATGCAGGGTCCACAGAACAGGTATAATATGTTACTGGCCCCTAGTGCCAGTTAGGAAATAGACCACTTATTTTGCATCAACTATGGTTTCTGGCTGATCATTAAAGCAGCCCCATGGAGTTGCGTTGCAAAAGCGATATGAGTTTCAAAAGATCCTCTCAGTGTAGGAAAGGCACAATGGGTAAGATGTTGAGACTGACAAAATGGGCAGGGTTCACATAACATACTATGCCACCAACCCCACTCCTATCCTAACAATTAAAACTAATCAACACAATCTGGAGCTGGGCAAAACTTCTCCTAGACACCTTCCACCTGCCCATCTAGCAGTAGCCATTAGTCTAAGAGGACCCCCCAAGATGCAAGCCTGCAGCTTCAGGGGCAGCACCACTCCCGCAAGAGACCACACAGGAGCAGACAGAGAGCCTTGATGAGCAAACAGCAGCTCTGTCTCCTTGGGTTCAACTTCACCCTATTTCTTCCAATCCAGGCCCCAACAGCCTCCAGACATTGGAACATCACCAGCTGTTATAGAAAATAGTCAGAGAAAGAACCAAAATAAAACTATGAGGAACTCTTAGTGACCAAAGAAGACCAAAAAAAAAAAAAAAAGCTTTGTAACAGCAGCAGAGAGCCAATCATCTCTAAAATGCCAAGAACAGGTATAGATGAACAAGGGCCAGGAAAGGCACAGCAGCAGATTTTGAAAATAGCATAATTCAGTAAAAAGAAGAAGATTTTACCCAGAGGCAAAGCTCATGAACAGTTCGTGTTGTGTTCAGAAGAACAACAGCAAGAATACTATAAAAGGAGGATGGAACCAGAAGCTCACTGGAAGACTTCAGACCCAGATCATCCATCTGCTGCACACCATCTTGCCCAAGATGGACGCTGGAGCTAGGAAAGGCAGGGGTCTAGCCTGCACATGTGATAGGATAGACTAGAGAGCACCCTGCCACTTCATACAAGCCAAAAGGAGTCTCAGCTAACATGGCAAGTTGTCACCCCAATCATGATCTAAGACTTTGCCCATGACGAGTCAAGACTTTGCAAATCTAAGCAACTTTTTTGACAAAATGCTGTGCAAAATAGTCACAGCAGAAGATCTACCTGTTCTTCCCTCCCCAAAAGGCCAGCCAGCCATAAGGGCAGCCACTGCATCAAGGAGAAATACTGGTGCTTATTGATTATTGACATGATCTAGACTTGAAATTTATCTTATACCTGTGCTAAGCCAGATTCATTCTGCATCTTCCAGCACAGTAGGTATTGCTTTGGCAACTTTGTCTTCTGGAGTTCTTCAATAAACCAGGGAGCCAACAAGATTAGCAAAGACAGAGAGGCTACTTGTGAGCAACGTCTCCACCCAAATCATCTTCTACTGCAGTGGCTAATCAGGCAATCAATAGAATTGCCTGTGAGATTGCTGGGAAATTCCCCAAGCACACCCTGGAATCCCTCTGGATCTATAAGATGCCTTCAGTGGACCATCCTAATAGGCCTGTTTGCCCTGTGGAGGACTCAGAGAGCAGTCAATCTCACCTAGACCAGGAAATGATATGACCAAAAGCAAGTGGCTGAGTGTAATGTTTTCCATATTCAGATCATCAAACAACTGCTCCAAGGCTAAAACAAACATATGATCACCTACATGTGTTGGAGCAGTTTTTACTTTGAAAAAGCCACGGTTGCCACCAACCCCTCAGTTTCCCTGATGTAGTTTGAGACTCCAACACTAGCCCCCAGACTAGATCCAGATGCTCAGGCAGGGAATCACACCAAGCATCAGGGTGTCCAGAACATAAGCAGGCTCCCTAACATGTCCCTACAGGTAAATTAAATGCATGTAAGAAATGTGATTTACAAGGAAATTTAAATTAAGAGTAAATCAAATTTAATTTACTGACTCCATCCCTTGCATGCCACTCAAAAGTCAAGCACAGCTCTTGGCCCCCAAAAGTTGTATACCTCTTGTTACAATAAACTCCCTTCATCCCCATCATCCTTTCCTTTTACGGAATGTACTAACTAATCAGCAGATCTATTAAAGCAGAGTTACAGCCTTGAAAATAGATGAAACATTAGAGAACAATTCTTAAAAATATGTATTTCTCAGAACTACTTAGGGCAGAGATGAACTCACTAAATAAATATTACTGATATCAGAAGAAGCAAGATAAGAGAAACTCTTTTCTTTGCCTACATCCTTCTCTCAGATGATTACAAATGATCAGGCAACCTAGCCAGCAGCTGTTTGAATGTTACAGGCACCCAGCACAGAGAGAACGCAGCTCTGCAGAATTTCATTTTGGAAGAAACTAATTTTGCCTAATAAATACAAAGATGTTATGATACTAACTAGTCTTACGTGCAAGAGTATGTAGGAGTGCATCGTTTGGCTTCCTTTTTTTTTTTTCCTTTTTAAAAAAGTAGCTTTGGAGAGCTTGGCATAGGTAAGCAGTGGCTGGATTCAAACAATATACCGAGACTGACAGAGCCAGTTTTGTCTAGGATAGTGTTGTCCAAACTTGGCCACTTTAAGATGAGTGGACTTCAACTCCCAGAAT